TGAGGCTTGGAGGTGCGTAAGCGTGAGCGGAATACCCACTCACTTTCCAGCCGTGCAGAGCGCCATTCACTGGCATTTCGATGGCGCCAAGCCGCGGGAACCGGGCAGCAGCGAACAGACGCTCACACGGCTTGGCGATACCCCTAGGTCAGTGAATGGCGCTATGCCCGGCTGGAAAGGGGGTTTGCCGGGTGGTTGCTCATGACCGTGGTCACTTCATGGCTGTTGTGTTGCACTGCTGCGACAGCACAAAAACAGCCATTCAGGAGAGCAGGCAGGCAGGTGGGCCCTCCAGAGTACCGTACCGGAACGGGTACCTGGTGCTCCCAGCAGGCACTGGTACGCCTGTACAGGGGTGTACGGTCATATCCCACCACTGCTGGGGAGGGTAAAAAAGCCCCACCACCCCCATCATAGTGCAGGAGGCCCACCCCTGGATCAATTACAGATTTTCAATGTAACGATCTTCATACACACTCTAATGATAATTATGGTATCTGAAATATAATGTCTCTAAAGTCACCAATCTGTGAAATATTGTTTAGCATCTTAGTGTAATTTAAGCCAAAGAAAATAGATAGTGAATATATGTCACACATACGCACGCACACACACTCTTCTAAAAAGAGAGCACACTATGGAAGAGAGAGGGGAATTTACCCTGTAGTTTTCCATAAGCAACAAGAGAGCCACTGAAGGTTACACCTCCTATGTATGTGCCAAGATAGGCCACAATCATGGTGAGGCCTGCAGCTGGATCAGTTGCAAAATGGGGAAACTCAATCATGTATTCTGCGACACAAGTGAGAACAGCAGCCAAGCCAACCAAGCTATGGAAAGCAGCCACTAGCTGAGGTAAATCTGAAATCTGGATACGTTTAGCAATTGTCAGACCTGCAGAAACAAAAAAAAAACAGCTGCATGTTAAATGTGAAAGGGGATAACACCGCTCAATAATTAAGATCAATAATTCAGATCACAGGAGCAAATACTGGTTCAACCTCAGCATGACTTTTAATCTCTGTGATTGGTGTTTTGTCCTTTAATTATATTTAATCAGAAATATATTCTGAGGAATCTGAGGGTCTAAACACAAAAAGCTAAGTAGCAGGTTTCTATCACATTCTAACAGTCCTATAACTTTTTCAAGGGGACCTCCTTTCCCATCACCTAACTGCAAATGCCACGACTGAATTAGGTAACTCTTCCAAATAATGCAAATCCTTTTGCTTTGCACTTACCTATGGTGCCACCAAGGGCCATCGCACCCGACATCTGGGCCAGAAGCTCAACTGATGGTTTTAGACTTCCCAGGGTAGCTGCCAAACCTCCAGCAACACCTATCATACCCAAAGCATTGCCAAGTCGAGCTGTTCCTTGGGTAGAAAGGCCAGCCAGGGCACCAACACAGCACAATCCTGAACCCAGGTACATCATCTTTAAAAGATGAAAATAATATAGACATATTTTTTTAGAAAGGACTTAAAATTGTAGATTTGACTGGGGTACAAAAGCACTGCTTAGTTGGGTTTCAAAATCCTCACAGCAGATACTGCGCTCGTGCTGCTTTCTCTTCAAATATATTTCTGCCCAACTGAGATTTTAAGCAAATCTGCCAGTTTGCAATGGAGTGGACTAATGCCCGAAAGAAGTTCGTTCTGCTTGTTCAAAATTGTTCCAATATTATCAATGCCAAGAAAAGGCAGAGCTGATTATAAAATTTATACAGAAGACCTCTGGACAATCAAATTAATTCTCAACATAATACATTTTACATAACGATTGGCTGCAAAGGAAAAGAAACATGCTCATTAGTGATCACAGCTTTTTTTTTTAATATCAATACAGTTTCTTTGCCTTTGCTAGATCAAGCTTTGTCATCCAATGCAACTGAAAAAGAATGTGTTCTACTCAATGGAAGTTGTCATTAGGATAATGCTGGTGCTAATTTGATTTGGGGACAAAGAAATATTCTAAGAAATGTGTACTTTCTTCTGTACAACTTCACCTTGAAGCCAAATCCCTATCTGAAAAAACACAAACCACGGTTAAAGGTAACCAAGACTTCCTTGTAACCTGAAAGCCTTTTCTGAAGATGGCTTCTTATATTCAAGCATAGTAACAACAGACTTCTGAAATTGCTACAAAGAGTATACCATATTTTTCGGAGTATAAGATGCACCAGAGTATAAGACACACCAAGGTTTTGAAGAAGCAAATTAAAAAAAACACTTTTTGCACTCTGCAAATCTCCCAAAAACAGCCCATTTTTCACAAAAATTGGCCCTTTTAAAAAAAAGGCATGAATAGCCTTTAGGAGTCTTGTAGAGTGCTCCTGGGGGGTGCCCCCCCCCCCAAATGAGCAAAAAATGGGCCTGTCTTTTGTCAAAAAAATTGCATGCATAGCCTTTCGGAGACTTATAAAGTGCTCCTAGGGCCTGGGGGTGGCAAAATTGAGCAAAAAACAGCCCGTTTTTCACTCATTTCTGCCCTCCCCAGCTACAGGGGCTCTCTGAAAGCCTTCTACAGGCTCTGCACAGGCATTTTGGCGAAGGGGGCGGGTTTTCGGGAGGAAAAAATGCTGTATTCAGTGTATAAGACGCATCCAGATTTTCAGCCTCTTTTTTGAGCGAAAAAGGTGCGTCTTATGCTCCAAAAAATATGGTAAGAACTTTTGAGGCTACCAACTTCCAATTCTGTCAACTGAGGTCACTATCATTCCAGTCTAAAGGATTGTATTAACATAGAAAATTAAGTTTTGAAAGTAAAGATATTCTTAAATAGCTTTCTTCTTTCTTCCTACCAAGATAATACCAAGGAGTTATATTTCGCTAGCTATATCACTGTGGCACAGCTGCTAATTGTGTAAGTATTATATTGGGCACTGCCAATTCCAATTTCATCTCAGTAAAGGAAACTATAGCTGGTCTATTTAGTGTTTTACTTAAACAATTAACTTAAAACACACATCAAAACAAGAAACACAAATTATCATCAGCCTCCGATCCATTTGCAAGGGTACAGTTCTTGCAAGTCCTCAACTTACAACCACAATTGGAACCAGGACTTCTGTCACTAAACAAGGTGATCATTAAATTGATTGTGTGGTTTTTGCAAGCTTTTTGTTATAGACATGAAGTAAATCACATGATCATTAAGCTATTCTGGATTTTCCCCACTGATTGCTAGTAAAACTGTCTGGGAAGTTTGCAAATAGCAAACATGCGACTGCACAGGACATTGCAACCATCATAAATACATGCCAGTTGCCAAATGACTGAATTTTTATAATGTGATTTTGGAGGGGCTGCAGTGGTCAGAAGTGTGAGGACAGGTTGCAAGTCGCTTGTTTCAGCACCATTGTAACTTTGAATGTTTACTAAACAAATGGTTGTAAGTCAAGGACGATCAGTACTTATATATGAGGTACTATAAACCTTATCCTACATATGCTGGGCTCCCTTTTCATCTTAGCAAGCATAGAAAGACATCAAACAAGGATAAGATTGACTACATCTTAGCAAATCAACATCAGATGGTCTTTTAAAAACCTGTTCACAAGACTGTAGCTGTGTATAAAAAATGGATCTATGGATGCCTGAGCAACTTTCGTACCTGTTCAATGTTATAACCGCTTTGCAGTGCTGTTCCATAACCTCCTATAAACAAAGCAGCAGGCAACAAATATAAATAGTTGAATTCAGGAGGGTCAGTAGGCCGCTTGAACATATCCAGCATTCTCTGAGTGACCAGGAAACCACCTATTTCACACACAAAAAATAAATAAATAATAATAATAATTAGGTTCTGAAAAGTAAGAAGTGCTTTAAAACATGGGCTAATTTAAATTCAATTAAATAACACTTAGACTTATATACCACTTCATAGTGCTTTTACAGCCCTCTTTAAGCGGTTTACAGAGTAGGCATATTGCCCCAAACAATTTGGGTCCTCATTTTACCCACCTCAGAAGGATGGACGGCTGAGTCAACCTTGAAACTGTCCAATTTCCAAATAGGAAATTGTCAAGTCTTCCCTATGAAGGACTATTATCTGGCTATGCAACATTTTGATGCAGGCAAGAAAAGCAAGGAATAATTCAGAGCAATTATTATTATTGGAACATTTGACATATACCATCAATTACATGAAAACAATGGAGTAGCTCAAGAAACCTTTAAGCTGAAGATTGTTGGAAAATCTTGAAGCACTAACTATAAATTATACCAAAAAACATGCAAAGAAGCCAGGTCAGATCTAGAATGGAAGACAGTCCATTTACAACATGTGATGTATTTTGTGGCTATTGCCCAAAAGCTTTAAACACACTTTTTTGGCTAGAATCTCTCAAGCTCTCTTACCGCTCAAGAAAATTGCACCTTTTGAGCTATTCTATTCTATTCTATTCTATTCAGCACCACTTTTGAAGGCACAGGTTTCCTGAAGATAGGAAGTAGGAAAGCTAGGAACTGTTTGGTACCTGCAATGTTGACAGAGGAAATAAAAGCAGCAAGGACAGCAAGGCCCTGAGGCAGAGTTCCAGGTAAGTATTCCCCTCCCATCAGCGCTAATCCGCCAACAGCAGTCAGTCCTGTTCAAAAAGAAAACATCAACAGCACTGAAATCCTTGTAGCAAAAGAGAAGTGCTTCTGTTTGCAGGACATAATTCTGATTATCATGACTAATTAGTACCAACATATCCTTCACAAAATGCATTTTAAGTCTTTAATTACATAGGTGGACTCCTCACGGTACTGATGCCAAAGTATGTTCTTTCATTTCCTCAGTCCTTCTGTCTGTTGAACTCTCCTTTGCTTTCCATTCCATATGTATGTATGTATGTATGTATGTATGTATGTATGTATGTATGTATGTAAAGTTTGTTTTCTCTTTACATACAA